CACTCCATACAGCAGGACAGGAAAGATGTAGCAAGATGTCATACGAACTCTAAGGTCAATGCTAAGATCGTGACTGCAAAGTATATAGTGTTCTACTCTCTCATCTTCAAATAATTCAGAAATGTAGTTTTCCCATTCTTTTAACTTTTCATTGATGTTATTCTGTGTCCGTTTCTGTCTTCTAAACTTTGGGATACTTGTTTCCGTTTATTTCCAGCGACCTCTTTTAATTTCTTGTGCAGATGAAATGTAGGTATCGTGTTTCTTTTCATATTGTTCAATTTCATTACATTCTTTACTATGACATTGTGTTTTCGCGTGTCTTATCTTCTGCCTGATTATTGCGTGGATCCTCTTGTATTCGTTTTTATCTTTATTTCTGACTTCTCTTCTTTGATCCATAAGTCTCAGTATTTCTTCTATCATCCACCCTTGTTTTTTTCTTGCTTTTAGCCCACTCAATTTTGTTTCTTGAACAGTCTTTAAGATGTCTTTAATTCTCGTCCAGTTTTCCTCAGTACTTTCTTCTTTGCTTGATGTTAACTTCATTTTTTGTTCTATGGTCTTTAAAACTTACAATGGGCTATATCTCACGAACAAAAGCTAATATCGAAAAATGCTTAAAACCGTTTCTAGGATAGTAAGTGGGAACTAAAATGACAAGAAAGAGAACTCACCTCCATCAACCCCCTAGGCCCCACACCACAACCAAAAAAGTTTAAATGGCAAACCCCTATTTGTGATACATCATTAAAAATAATATAAAAAATGCTATCCAATGGTATAAATAATAATTATACATTAATTTGTTAAAAATGTCAATTAAGTAAATGTTCAAAATGGGTTCCGTTGTTTTGTAAACAATAAAACAAACTATTTTCAAATTCTGCACAAACTTTGTCAAATGTTGTTCTAGTAATAGCGCGACATGCTTGCTTTCTCGCAATTCCTTAAGTAACGCAGGTTAAGTTTTATAAAGAACTGACTTGATGTAACCCCATAGAAAATAATAAGGTGGCGGTAGGACCTGTTCTTCCAATCCACTGGTTCAGATAATTAGTATCCAACCAGTGCCTAACTGGAGCTGCATAGTGAAGGGGTGCTCCATCTTGTTGGAAGTGCAGCAAATCTTCGCCTAGAGCTAGGTTGTCTTGATCGTCCCTCTGGTTCTCTAATTCATTCACAATTAAATGTTCGACAGTGTTTTCCAGCACTTAAATTGCCTGGTATGAACAAGGGGCCAATTATAGAATCGACTAATATTCCTGCTCAAACATTAAGTTTTTCTGGATATTGAGTACAACCTTCTCTGAAAAGATTGTGGGCTCACATTACTCCAGTAATTAGCATTCAGCATACAAATACTTTCATCAGTGAAACAAATGATTTTTAACATTCTCAGTTCAACACGAATTCTTTCAGTCTTGAGTTCACAAAACTCAATTCGTGTGTCTGGACAATTATCGCCTAGTTCTTGAAGAATTTGTGTTTTGTACGGGTGAAACTTATGTAATTTCGGCACCTTTCTAACCGATCCTGTGAAAGTCTTGTCATTGCAGATACTTGACAAGTTGATGCAGTAGACTCTATTGCAAAATTTCCAAGGACCTCAATTTGGGATGCTTCATTCAGTAATCTTGGGACATCCCTTTTTTATTTTGCACTAATCCCGTTTCTCTAAACTTTTCAACTAAATAGTGACTTACATTTTTGTCTGAATGCCTTTCATGAAATATTTGAGCTGTTCGTAAATAATACTGGTTCTGAAAGGCAAATATGAAAATGGTTTCCACATGTTCAGGTATACTGAAAAAACCAGCGTGACCACTACAGCTGAATGACAATACCAAGCATATGAATGATGACAACTAATGACATTTAAAATTCTCAAATGAACCAAAAATTATTGAATTTGACAGAACGCAAAAAACAGATGTTTTCAACTTGTTTTGCAAAAACGACAAATTAAGTTTTTATTTAACAAAAAAAAATTCTGACGGGTACTTATTATTAAAAATAATAGTCTGGAAGATAGCATTACAAATACAAAAGTCATAGTAAGCTGACTGATATTAACACCCTGTATAATTATTAAATAATAATTATACAGAGTCATCAACAGAATCAACAAAAACCTCATTAAATAAGCCAAAGTTTCACAATTATTGCTTCACCCTGTATAATTATTATTTATATCATTGGACAGCATTTTTATAGCCTTTTCAATGCTGTATCACAAGTAGTGGTTTTCAATTTAAACTTTTTTGGTTGTGGTGGGTGGGGCCTAGGGGAATGACGGGGATGAGTTCTCTTTCATGTCATTTTAGTTCCTCCTTATATATCAGCTCCATTGTAAGTTTTAAAATTGACACACTGCATATTAAACCAAGTAAAAATACCTACTACAGTAAATGAAGATCTATTTCTAATTACTTACAATTCTATTCAGAGTCACTGCCACATACTATATCACTGTCATCACTACAATTATACTAATTAGTTAATGTTGGCAAATATTTCAAGTATTCATTTTCCATCCCCATTACATGTTCAATGACATTTTTCCAACTTGTTGCTGTAATTCTTTTTACTTTTTCTACAATTTATTGGAAAACAGCCAATGAAAATTTAGCAGCCACATTTTTTCTTCTTATATTTTCTTTTAATCAAGTCCGTATTAATTCTATTGGATTAAATATAAAAAATAAGGAGGTAGTCTAAGCACAGTATGTTCATTAATGAGAGTACAGTCATCAACAACATATTTAATATAATATGTAGTTAGAATGACATATTGTTACATTTTTCCAAAACCATGATGAAACACTCATGGTTTTTTTGACAACCTTTTCCACCCCTGAGTTAATGTGATAAACACCCCCAGAGGAAAAGCACATATTTTCATAGGGTAGATTCTGATCTTTGAGCTATTTTTTAACTACTGTAAAATTTTCAAGCAAATAGATGCATATAAAAAGAATTCAGAAGTTATCTACTATTTTTACCATCATTTGCTGGAGTGCTAGTAATGTCACCTCATTTAATTAGAGATAAAATTTCTTACCGCATTTAAATCTACAGATTTACTAAATTTTTTTTAAATTGAAGTCTAGCAGATTCCATCTAGTGAACCATCCCACAATATTCTAGATCATTCACAGTGAAGTGAATACATTTCAGGCACCTGACACACTTGGCTCACGTGATGACCTGTTACCAGTTTTCTTAACATGTTGCAAAAAAAAAACAATGTTTTATCATTTATTCTTCCATGTACTTATAGTCATTTTATGACAAGAAAAGAAGATATACTTGAATGTGAGGAAATAGTCAGTGAGGCTATAAGCCAACACATTAAATTACTGATGCTGAAACCACAATATTGGAAAGGACCACAAAAATAGAATGGTGGATGTTAAAATATAAGGAAAAAGTTGGTTCAGAGCAAAAATAGTAGAAAAAATGTGGTTGAAGGCCCAAAGACAGGAATTGACAGAAATTTCAAAACAAGTTTGAGAATACAGAAACCTGGTATCACATGAAGAAGTGAAAACTATATAAAGAGTGGTATCTCTACACATTACTTACATGGTAAAGCACCTTCACAACATTATTTTTAATATTTGGGAATCAGAAACTCTACATAAAAAAGGAGAAGTGGTTTAAACAATTATCTTGGAAACACATATGTGAAGAGTTCTATAGCTTATGTTGGGTTTTAAACTAATTTGAACAGTACATATTTTCTGCGGTGTGGGACAAAAGCTAAGCTTAGTAGTCTAAAAATTGTAAATGCTACCACCCAGTTCGAGATTTTCAGAAAAAATTTACACTTCTTTTGTGACCATATAAATATAACCTTTTAAGTTTTCTATGTACCCATTTGAGTAGAATAAATTAAATAGTCAGGGGTCTACTGGAGACATTTAAAATGGAATTCTGTTCTTGAAATATACAGACAATCTGTGACATACTCTGGTGTTTAAGGCCATAATAAATCTTTAATATGAGCAAACATTTTAAAGGATAAGGTTAATATCTAAGAGAACAATGCAACAAGAAAAAAGGAATTGCAGAAAATTGTTTAATGTTAAATTTATTCTATGCCAATATTATGAAATGCAATGGAAATTAACATGATTTCAAGGCCTACTAGTATTATTTTTGAGAAATTGCTTTTGAGGAGAATGGAGCTTATATATATATAGGTATATCAAAATTCTTAAAATGAATCAGATTTTAACACCAATATCTACTTAGTGTGCCCAAACAAGTTACTATATTCATACATGTATTAAAGTAAATATGGACATATAGAATACAACCTTGTGCTTGTACCAAAAAAGTAGTACACAGATCATTCATACTTATTAAAAAAAAAAGTATTAAGAAACAGTTTCACATCAAAATAGTGTGATCAAAAATGGAATGAACAATAAAGTACAATAAATTACTTCAATTGAAAAATTTGCAAGAGAACATTTAAACACAAATTTCTTAACAATCTTGGTCCCAGTAAGAAGACTCAAAAGAAAGTTATGTAAGTGATAAAACCAGAGATAAAAAATAGAGCTTGTGACAATGCACCCTGCATTCATAACTAAAATTGTCATAAAAAATTAAGACACCAATGAGTGACTTTTTAAATATAAAGATTATAGTCCTTTAATGAAATTCAGTTATTCAGTAGTGTAAAATTATATTGTAACAACTAAAAAATATGGTTTGAACTGAACTAATAATGATGTGATAATGATTTTCTGTAGGATATCTATTTAAGAAGTTTAAATGTTATAAACAAAAAGTGTTTAAATCACATTATTATATTCAAATTCCCAATATGTAGAATAAAAATAATATCAACTACAGAAACCCTAGTCCCTTTAAAAATATTCAGTTTTGGCTAAATATTTACTAGAATACCAAAAGAAAATATTTATCGAAATGTATTTCTTAACTTTACACAATGTTTATACATATTATTAATCAAATGTATTTACCTTTGTCAATTCCGAAGAAGATACCCAAATAACATCAACTAAAATCAAAACTAAAAATCCCAAAACAAGTCTTTGGGTTTTGGTTAACATAGGGTCATCATTTTCCATAATACGAAATTTTTCAACTTCCTCGAGTATTCATAACTTCCTGGCATAACTGATATTTACCAATATCTTCTGTAGGTGGTACATATCAACTACATTATTGATAAAATAAACACTGAGTTCTCAACTACACAGTCCTGTGAACTTAAGGATTTTAAACAAATGAAAGCCGCTTAATTGAGTTTTCACTTGAAAATTAATTGCTTTCACGTAATCATTATTTTGCATTGAGCGGTTTTATCTAAAATTAATAAAATATAATTTAAAAAGCAGTCAATTGTATTAAAAAAGAGCAAATTCTAACTGAATGAAGTGTCAATGTCAACGTACACTTGTGTCATTTTAAGCTCCGTATCCAGGCAACCAAATTTACAACATATTCTCAATTTTAAAGTGAGTACATACTAGAAATCTAATTTTTTTAAAATGTTATCCAATGGACATTACAATTTTCCTGTTAAATCCGAAGGTAAGTTTAATTTAATAACATTTTTTTGCTTCTTAGTCGTTTATTATATATGTAACAGGAGTTACAAGATATTTGTCTTGAAAATACTGAATGAAGCGCTTATTGCAATAGGTACCTATTATTTGCCATGTTATTTGCGTTCTTAGTAGTTACTTGATATTAGCTGTTTTATGTCGATATAATCCTCCAACTATTACGCAAACATTTTTAAAGTTATTCTTATTTTTCTACGGCATTTCGAATATCATTTGGAATACTTACCTACATATCAAAGAACACAGACGCAATTGCGTCTACATATTCCTTGTATCTTTGTATAATATATTTTATTTATTAGAAACCGTAAGCCTTGTACAGTGGTGCTTATAGGAACACTAATGTTGAATAGGGCTTGCTTTTTAAGTTTACGAATATTCCGCGACCTGTATAAATATTATTCAGTCCGTCAAGCGAATTATTATTAAGATTTTCTTATTGATTCAACTGTATTTCTTCAGAAATCTGCCTCTTTAAAAGCAATCTTCAGTAACGTTAAGACATGAGTCCCTTTCTTAGTTTAGACTTCTCACTTTATAGATCCAAGTAGATCTAGAACTGTATCTTATATATGGAATATCTGAATGAACATCCTCAATTCGTTATCTGAATATTGTTATTGTTGTGACCAAGGAGCAGAAAACAAATGGGCTCTAAATTTGCGTTTGGCACTTTATTATAAAATTAAAAAATACAACACATTCCTTCTACTTTTGTCATATTTCTTAAAGATAAGTTTACACTAAGTATTTCTTCTTCTTCCTAGCCTTCTATCGTCCATGTTTGGACATAGGCCTCTCCCAACTCCTTCCATCGGTCTCTATCGTGAGCAACATATTTCCAATTTGTTCCGGCTATTTGGAGCATAGACTTGCACGATCTTTATTTTTGGTTTTGAACTTAGTTTTAAGACCATTTATTTATTCCTGTCTGAGATGCTGTCAATTATTTGAATTTGAGATTTTCTCTTCTTGTTGATTAAGAAACCTACTCCACCGTATGTGTAGTCTTCCCTGCCTTCATAATAGAGTCTGTTGCCTGAATGTAAGTCCACATATCCTTCACCTCTTCTTTTAACTTCTGACAGTCCCGTTATGTCCCAATTTCAGTTCCTCAATTCCTGTTCTAGTTCGTAGAGTTTTTCATCTTTTGCCATGGATAGGATGTTGTATGTTGCTATATGGAGTTGTTTGTTCTTCTTTTTTTTTTCAATGTCGACTTGCCCCTCCCCAGAATCCTCGGGGCAGGCCGTTGTTACGGTGTGGGACTATGAAAAAGAATTCCTATCCACCTGGAGTACCTTCCGTGTTTCTGTTGCAATCGACATGTTTGGTTTTGGAGGTTTTGGCCATATCCCACCACGCTGGCCAGACGGGTTGGTGGGGTAGAAGTATTTTCATCGCGAAGATACTGCAATACCTCTCTTCTAAAGATTTAAACGAGTGGAAGCTTTAATAAGTCTTTTTGACCGCACTGGCAAACCATTAGCTTTATATAAAATTTCTTCCTCGACATTTTTACTAACTTTATTACTACTATCTGGTTTCTCATTACTCACTCTGTTTTTTCCAACATTAATCATTGATGATCAATATCGCTAATACAATCAGATACGATTAATTCAGGTGTCTTATGATTATAAAGAGGCGTCATAGTTAATTTCATGAAATTATGACATAGTTATGTCATAATTTCATGTAATTAACATTTTCACAAGAAAAATGCATGATGCACTTTAGTCCCAACCAATTCTATGTTACCAAACAACAATGTGCATGTTTCCAATAAATTTGACAAGTTCGATCCATTATGCCTATTTCCAAGGCATATAGAGTTTAAACAATTTGATGCAAATCAAAATATTTAATTACAGAGACATCTGAACGAAGATGCCCAGAGGAGGAATTTTATTCTTTGGATAAGTTTAACTGGCTAATTCACTTACAACATGTAACAGGGGGCATTCAGGCTTGTAAATCTTTAATTATTAAAGAAATTGAAAGAAGCAAAGGGAAAAATGAATTTGCTTTATACAAACAGGTATTTTATATTTATTAATATTTGTAGAAGTAAGTAATAGTAATATTATTTCATTGTGTTTAATACATTTATTTAAACATACCTTTTAACAAACTATGCAAGAATCCCCAATCTCCAAAACCCCTATTCTAACTTCTAATAACCATGTTGACAAGTAGTGACAACTGACGAGTCTCTCTACATTGTGCCTAGAGCCCCGTGACCGTAATCATAACCTACTGATATGACATATTTCCCCTTACATTTGATAATCCTTAAAACGTACTGGAGCCCTTTTGAGTCTAGCGCTAGTTCTATTTTCAGCATTCATTTGGGAGGTTGAAGGTTCCTCTACTCCACAACTCTGATTCCCAGATGAGGAGTTTAATGATCTATCATTATGTGCAAAATCAGTATTCTTTTTAATTTCCGCTTTAACTAGAGAAGGCCTTAAGTGATAACTGTTTCGCCTGATCACTTCCCCATTTTCTTTCTGTACTAAATAAGATCTGGGTGCCTCATTTACTTTTTCCACAACTTTACCTGGTCTCCATTCTCTACCCTCTCTGACACCTACATTCTCTCCTGGCACTATTTCTCTTCTTACCTTGGTGTTTCTATCATAATAATTTTTATATTCGTTTCTTTTTGCCTCTAGTTTCTCCCACTCATCCTTTAGATTTATGTCTTTGTGCTTTTTATTTGATGGTAGCTTCGATCTAAGAGCCCTGTTAGGTACTAATTGGGCCGGTGTTTTATCTATTCCATTTATTGGAGTATTGCGATACTCCAGGGGTGTCATATCTAAGTCGTCACACTTTCTAAGCATGTTTTTGCAATTTGAACGGCTCGTTCTGCTTGCCCATTACACCGTGGATAGCGGGGACTGGACGTTACAAACCGAAAATCCCAGTTTTAGCAAATTGCTGACAATGCCACGAATTATAAGGCATGTTATCTGATGACTTCGTAAGGTATTCCGTGTGTTGAAAAAATTTTCTTTAACTCCTTGATGACCACTTGAGAAGTTTTTGAATTAATTTTCACTATATCGAGCCATTTAGAAAAATATTCGATCAGAACTAGATATGACTATCCACCATAATCTAATATATCACTGGCTACCTTTTCAAAAGGTGCTTGAAGCAACTCTATAAGTAATACTGGTTCTTTAGCATTGTGACTTTTAAATATCTCACACTTGCTACAATTTCTTACCCAGTCTTCTATACTTTTGTTCATTTGTGGCAATGTAATATCTGTCTTGCTCTCTGTTGGGTTTTCTGAATGCCAAAATGACTAGAATGCAATAATCTTAGCATGCACTCTCTCAATATTTTTGGGACTACAACTCTGTCTTTGTAAAATATTAGTCCGTCAAGTAAATATGGTTCATTTCTTATATAATAATAATACCTAATTGAATCGCTTACTCTTGACACGGTTTTGGGCCACCCTTAAATACAATATTTCTTTACTAGTTTCAAATCCTCATCAGCACCCACTTCAGTCTTAAATTGATCTCTCTTCTCATCAGTCATGACAATAGTATGAACTATTTCTGTAATAAATTTATCATCATCCATTTCATCTTTTATAAAATTCCTAGATAATAAATCTGCCACATGCATGAACTTGCCTGGCTTAAATTTTACCTTTATGTCATATTTAGATAATCTTACCCTAATCCTTTGTAATCTCGGCGACATTATGTCCGCAATGCCTTTATGCATTACTGCCTCCAAAGGCTTATGGTCAGAATCAATTTGCACTTTTCTTCCATAGATAAAATTGTGAAATTGTTCTGTTATTCTGTAAGAGACAGCACCCCAAGCCATTACTACTACTGTCAGTCTATCACAGTTGGTAACTTCTCGTTGAAATTGGCAAGCACATTACTTGACATAATTACTTCTTTTATTTTATTTAGTGCATCAGAATGTCTATCTGTCCATACCCATGCATTCATTTTTTTAAGAGTTCTCTTAAGGGCGTAGAAATCTCTGACAAGTTTGGAATGAATGCCCTCATATAATCTACCATTCCCAAAATTTGTTGTAATTCCTTTTTATTTTCCGGATCCTTCAATCTTCTTATCGCTTCTACTTTCTTGTTATCAGCTCTCATCCCATCTTTATCAAAGATATGACCCAAGTATCTAACACTTTCAACGCAATATTGTATTTTTTTTGGGTTAAATTTCACATTTAGTTCTCTAGCCATATCTAATACCTTATTTAGTGTATTATTATGCTCTTTTATTGACTCACCACAAATTAATAGATCATCGAACTAGACTATACAACCTGCAAAATCTGCAAAATTTTCAGAATTTAATTTCTGGAAGTATTAAGGTGCTATGTAAAGACCAAATGGCAGGCGGCAAAATTTATATGTGCCAAATATAGTGCCAAAAGTACATAAATTACTGGATTGCTCATCCATTTCTACTTGGTAAAAACCCTCCTTAAAATCTAGAACTGTAAAAAATGACTTACCCTGTAACATTGAACGAATCTCATCAACAGTAGGTATTATACAAAATTCCCGTTCCAATGTCTTGTTCAGGTCACGTGGATCTAAGCAGATACGTAATGATTTATCAGTTTTCTCAACAATTACCAAGTTACTAAGCCACTGCGTAGGACCATAAACCTTTGCTATGATTCCTCGCTTTTCAAGATCGATTAGTTGATTCTTAAGTTTAGGCTTGATTGTAAGTGGGACTCTACGAGGTGGCCTAGCCACTGGCACTGCATTTTCTTTAAGGTTTAAACTACATTTTTTCTGAAATTTACCT